GGCTTGCTCCTCCGTCTATAAAGATCTTCACTGCTGCTCCCTGTATTTTCCCGTGGATCAGTACTGGGCGATCCGTCGCTGTACCCTCCTTATTCATCTGAGCCCGATCGATAGCGTGAATCGGTACTGTGACTCGGTGAGGGTCGGTGCGGTTGGGCGAGCAGGCAGTCTCGTCAGTAGTTGGCCCAACTTCTACTGACTGCTGGCGTTTCCCTGCCTCTGAGACTCCCTCCCCTGCTCTGCTCCGCGGCGCCTCAGCTCCTCTGGGCATTCGCTCTTGCGATGGCCCGGCCTGTTGCAAGCAAAGCAGCGCCCCTTAAACGGCGCAGCAGCTGCATTCGTTGCAACGGCGTGTACAGTGGCGTGCTCGGTCGGTCCCCGAGGACGATGTCCGTAGTAGGACCCCGGTCTCGGTCGGCGTAGAATGTCGATTTTCTCGGCGAGCGCGAGAATCTCGTTGAAGTTCGAGAGTCCGCGCAGCATGATCTCGTGCGAGATATCCGGCTTCAGCCCTCCAACGTAACGGTCCACCCGCTCCGCTTCGTGCATGTAGCCGACTTGCTCGCAAAGTGCGAGAAAACCGCGCGTGTAATCTTGAACCGACCCGAGCTGCCGCCAAGTGCGCAACCTCTGACGCGCCGAAATAGAAGCCGCGATTGGCTCGAAGCGCGCCCGAAGCCCTGCGCACCACGCATCCCACGTGCTGTATTGGGCGGTCTCGCAGAATGAACTCCAGGTGACATCTGGACCCGTGGGCCCTTCCTCTTGCGACGGTGGCTCGTAGGCGCGTGGCGACGTCACGATGACTCGCCACCAGTCCATGGCGGGGCCCCTTAGCAGCGAAACGGCATACCGAATCTTCGCTGCGTCCGACTCGACGTAATTCGCGTCGAAGAAGACGTTCATCGTGAAGACCCACGATTGAACCGTCGGACCTCCACGCTGGCTCGGGTCGAAGCAGGGCGGGCGTTGCGGCTTGAGTGGCATTGGTGCCATAATGGCCTGTCCGCCACTTGTCGCTGCAAACTCCACGTGCCGACGGGCTTCGCGAGGCTCCCGCGGGCTTGGCGCAACCCTGTTTCCTCCCATGCCAGGCATTGGTTGGGCGGCGCTATCACTGGCTGCACCTGAGCGCTGTCCCACGCGGTCGTGTTGTGTTGGTGTACCGGACGAGGTGATGATTGGCTCGTCCGATTGTGCAGGTGCATTTGTTGGTGCGTGTGGTGCTGCTGGAGTGTTCACCGAAGATTGCTGACGCGCGGAGTCACGTTCCGCCGTGAGCGTCGCAATTTCGAGTGCCGAATCTTCAACTTGGCGCACCAGGCGGTCGAGCTGCTCCTGCGTCAAGGTCGCGAGATTGAATTCGGCCATGGTGGGGGTGTCGGGCAAGCTCAGCGAGAGCCTCGGTCGTGGCCGTGCGTGCTTACGAGAGAGCACTACGAGCGGCGGTGCTGTGTCGCTGAGAGACGTCTACCCCCCCCAAAAATTGAGATAGTGGGGAAGCGAAGGTGTGGGTGCGGTCCGAGAAGAGATCGTAGGCTCTGAATACCAAGTGTTACGAGTGCAATTGAGTGAGCGAACGAGGATTGCACTATCGAAGCAAGAGTTTAATGAGCGAACGCATTAGCGAAGAATATATAGCGAAACTACAGTGGTAACGGTAATGTGTGAAAATTGGGGTGCGCGACGGGCCTGGTGCCGAGGTTGGGAAAGTGTCGAGGCGGAGGTCCGGAGCGCGGGTTACCAACCGAACCGTGAGGTTGGGTCGCGTCGTGAATGGTGGCGGGAATGGTGTCGAAGCGAGTGTCGCGAGTGGTAACGGATTACTGTTGGGTGCTGTGGGTGGGAACAGTGGTGTACGCGCTGAGCAGGGACGCGAAGTAAGGAAAAGGAATTTTCCTTACAGTACGGAAAATATTACCCTAGGTGTCAGGGTACTGGGGGCCTGGAACCCTGATTTGCAAGAGTGGCCCAAAACCAATTTTGGGCCCTGCCCGGTAAGGATAAAGGAAAAATCCTTACAGTTTGCTTGTTTCATTGCAAAAATAGCACTTCCTGGTTACCAATGAAACCAACAAAGTACCGGTAGGTCTGATATCGAGGACCCTAACAAAAGCACCTCTATCCAGGGGATCACGGTCATGGTACACTAACAAGGAAATTGGCAAAACACTATGTTGTAAGACCACTTCTTTAAACTGCAATAGAGTGACACTTCCAGAGCACACACCATCACAACCAGCAGAACATCAGTCTTCCAACCAACCACCCATAGCTTAAAGCCCTGCCAGATCAGCCATCACTCAGGCAGCACTTGACAGTGTGCAACTGTGGGGGCTTCAGTGCTGCCGTTCTCAGCTTCAGCGCACGGCAACATGCTTGGAGCCGGTGCCCACCTGCCCCCTCTCGCTGCGGCGCAGCGCCCTGTGCAGGTTGTACGCGTAGGCGAGCGCTGCCTTGCTCAGGCGCGGCTCGTACGTGGTTAGCTGGTGGGGGGGGGGGGACCGGGGGGGGGGGGGGAGGGGGAGAGGGGGAGGGAGAAGGGGATAGGGTGTGATGGGTGAAGTGCAGGTTGTATGCGTATGCCAGCGCTGCCTTGTTCAGGCGCGGCTCGTACGTCTTTAGCTGATGGGGGGGTGACAGGGGGAAAGGAGAGGAGGGTGGGGGGGGAAGGAGCGAGGATGAGGAGAGCGAGAGAGGGGAATAGGGGTAGGCGTATGCCAGCGCCGCCTTGTTCAGGCGCGGCTCGTACGTCTTTAGCTGATGATGGGGGGACCGGGAGGGAGGGAGGGAGGGAGGGAGGGAGGGGGAAGGAGTGAGGACGAGGAGTGCAGGAGATGCCAGAACTGCATTGTTTAGCCGCGGCTCGTACATGGTTAGCTGTCCGGGGGGGGGGGGGGGAGAAGGGGAGAGGGGAAGGGGGAGGGTCCCGGGGACGGGTGGAAGTGAAGACGAGTGGAGGAGCGGGGGGAGCTGATCACTGATGGGCATGGGGTTTGCTATCGGAACGCACTACTGGCCCTAGTGCCCTGAACGCAACTTATCCTTGGTACTTATAACGCACCCGGTCCTTGGTACTTATAACGCACCCGGTCCTTGGTACTTATAACGCACCCGGCCTGTGATGTTCTTGGCGATCTGCGGCATGGCCTTGTGCGCATCATTTCTTGAGCACAATCGCCTCGCGCGCCTCCCGGGTGACCATCGAGTCGACCCAATATTCCTTATAGTGCACCCTATCCGCTTGCTCTCGCTGCTTATAACGCACCCATTCCTATCTGCTTATAACGTACCCGGTCCTAGTTGCTTATAACGCACCCGGTCCTAGCTGCTTATAACGCACCTCATCCTAGCTGCTTATAACGCACCCGGTCCGTGATGTTCTTGGCGATCTGCGGCATGTCCTTCTTGAGCACGATGACCTCGCGCGCCTCGGCGGGCTTGTGCGCCTTGTCGGGGTGCGTGATCGTCATCTCCAGGTTCTGCCCCTTGCCCGTCGCGCGGATCGCCACCGTCTTGCCAGCCGCCAGGCCTGGTTTTGGGGGGTGGGGGGGGGGGGAAGAGAGTGGAATGCAGGGGACAAGGTTCGCCGTCGCGCGGACAGGAGAGGGGAGGGAGAGCAGGCGACAAGGTTCCACCAACTCCAGGTCCTGCCCCTTGCCCATCGCGCGGTACGCCACTGTCTTGCCGGCCGCCAAGCCTGGTTTGGGAGGAGGGGAGAGGTGAGTGCAGGTGGTGTAGGGCGCCGAAGAAACGAGAAATGGCGCGACGCCGCAGTTCCCGACGCAGCGGCTTTAGACGCAGAGGCCGTCGTTGAATCCGAAAACAATACGCCCTAGATGAAAAATACCGTGGATCCGCCCACTTCTCCAAATTCCTCTGGTCGCTACGTAGCCACCCGCTACCGCGATTATGAGAAGTCGTTACGCAGCCGTCCCGTTTCGCGCCGCGTGGGATATGCGAGAGCGTTTCGAAGCTCCTCGTAACACAGCAGTGCGACTCAGAGCGGCGCCCGACAACTCGACGCATGGCAGTGCGGCCTGCTTTCCCCGCGATGATCGCGGCCTGCAGCGTTCATCGCCTCACGGCCTGCTATTGACACATTCGCTTTTGTGATATCCGCTTATGCGACATCTGCCGTTGCTATATTCGCTGTTGCCACATCCGTTGTTGCTGTATCCGCTATTGCTACTGCGACATCCGCTAAGCGGCGTCAGCAGAAATTTGCAAAGAAGTGCTTCGAGAGCGGCACGCGCGGGTGCGAACCTGCGCACATGCGCGGGCGCGCATCTGTGTACTTGCGCGGGCGCGTACCGGTGTACTTGCGCGAGTGGATGGCGACGAGGTTGTTGGGCTCGCGGCTGAGGTGGCGCTTGGAGCCGACGGCGGTGCGCGCCTTGTAGCAGTGGCCCTGGTTCAGCAGCACCCACACCAGGTCGTCGGACGCGTTGGGGTAAGCCATGGCGCGAGGAATGCGAAGTCGAAGGAGAGAGGGAGGTTATGGAAGGAAGGCACGTTGGGAAGCGCACAGGAAGAAGGAAAAGAAAGGATTGAAGAGGATGGAGGGTTTTAGTCGAGAAGTGATGAAGGCTAGGGTTTGCGAGTGAGGGCGAGTTGCTAGTTTAGCCCTATAGTGGTGGGTCATTTGCCCGAGAGGGGTATAAGATAACATGGGTGATCGATTTGCAAAGCTGTTTTATTGAACTACGTAAATGTTCGAATTGGATTGGACAATGTCTCTCAACATCTGAAATATGTTAACGAGTGTTCTCCAATCGGAAACATCTATCTGTATTCCCCACGGCCATGTGGCTCCATGTCAGCGCGCCGCCTTGGGGTCATCCTAACAGATGCATGAATTTGAACGGCGCAGATTCATTCACAGGGATGACTGTAAATCTGCGCCTCCATCGTCCATTTTACCACGGCCAAGTGAAAGCAAAGCTGGCCCCACCCTTCCCGCTTGCTCGTGTGCCAAGTGATAGAACCTAGTAACCGACATGGCGTCCACCGCGATTCCCCCTACTCTGTATCGAATCACGAGCTCTCAACACTGCCGACTGCAAGCGCAAGAGGCCGCGCCGTGCGCCCAATTCGCAAGAGGCCAGACTAGCGGTTCGCTTCGTTTGCCATCTCGCGGCGCTGCTGCTGCCGGCAGGGGTCGCACGGGATCGGCGATTTCGCGTCGTCGGTTGGCGACTGTCGCCGCGACGGGCACGAATGTCGCTGCAGATGCGGAAGTGGACTTGTACGGGCTTCTCGGGGTTGATCGTAGCGCGGATAAGGCCGAGCTGAAACGCGCATTCCGCAAGCTGGCGCTTCAAGCTGAGTATCGCTTTCGGTGCGAGAGGAAGAGAGAACGAGAAAATAGACAACTCCAAGAGAGCACATATCACGTTTTTGCCTCACACCCCGCTGCTGTCACTCTCCGTGTAGTCACGGCTCATCAACCTTCCGCTCTGCGCACTACCCAGCGCGATCTCCCACCATGGTCGGCTCTTTAGTAGGCCAGTAACAGTCGGCGGCGACTCGTGTCGCACGTCGCGCACCGCGTGAGGCACACGTTCATCCCAGTGACCCAGTGCACTCCGCTCTCACCCGCTCCCTCTCAGCACCTCCTGCCTGCCCGTCCCTCACTCCCATCCTGGCTCCTCTCTTCGTCGTATCTGCCTCATGCCGCGTCTCTGTCTCCTCTCTGCCTTCTCCGTGCCCTCCTCCCTGCCCTCCTCTCCGCCTCCCTCTCCCTGCAGTACCACCCAGATGTCAACAGCGACCCGGGGGCGGCAGACACGTTCATTCAGCTCAGTAACGCGTACGAGGTATCGGTCCGCTCTCACCTCTGGCCGCGCATGCCTCGTTATCCGCATGCCACGCATGCTCCAGCGTCACAAATACTCACTGCCACCGTCTGTGTGCCTGAATTGAATCGGTGCCACCACAATCAGCGCAGTCTCAATGCTGCTCACTCACCCACTCGCCTCCACCCAGTATGCTCACTGCTGCTGCTGCTGCCGCTGCCCTCTGCCCTCTGCCCTCTCGCCCTTCCCCCCTCCCTCTCTCGTCCCCCCCCATCAGGTATTGGTGGTCGAGGAGCAGAGGGCGCTGTACGACCGGTTTGTTTGAAGATGTGGCAATGACACACACCAATACACGCCAGTGCACGCCGCCTCCCACTGTCCCTCCCTCTCTCTCCCCCCTTCCCGCCATCAGGTGTTGGTGGACGAGGAGCAGCGGGCGCTGTACGACCGGTTTGGGGCGGCAGCGCTGAGCCGCGACTTCATGGCGGGCAGAGCGGGCACGGAGCGCAAGGGAGCGGCGTGGGAGGCGTTTGACACGTGGGACGAGTTCCAACCGTTCCAGCGCAAGTGAGTCCACCCTGTGAGGCAGCCCAGTGAGGCATGGGTGGGGCATGGGAGGTGCGAGTGGGTCGTGCTTGACGAGGCATGGGTGGGTGGGGTCCGTGGGAGGCGTTTGACACGTGGGACGAGTTCCAGACCTTTCAGCACAAGTGAGAAGCGGGTGGGGCACGGGTGGTGTCAGTGAGTGCGTGCGTGCTGGCCAACGAGGCATGGGTGGGGTCCGTGGGAGGGAGGCCTTTGACACGTGGGACGAGCCCCTCACCTCACTCAACCCCCATGCTGCACGGCACAACCCCTCACACGACAACCCTCCCTTGCTACATGGCAGGACGCGCAAGGGCGATGCGAGGCAGGCAGCAGCAGCCAGGTGGTCGTCAGACAGCGAGAGTGAGGGCGAGGGCGAGGGCGAGGCAGAGGGCGGGGTGGTGGAGGCGGTGACAGGGGATGTGGTGGAGTACCCGCTCTCTGCTGCCGTCAGGGACAGATTCGATGACGGCCGCATCAAAGGTGAGCCGCTATACGTGCCCTCTGTTGCCGTGCTGGATGGCAAGGGCTAAGGAGGGGAAAGAGCAGGGGTGGTGGAGGCGGTGACAGGGGATGTGGTGGAGTACCCGCTGTCTGCTGCTGTCAGGGACAGATTCGATGACGGCCGCATCAAAGGTGAGCCGCTATACGTGCCCTCTGTTGCCGTGCTGGATGGCAAGGGCTAAGGAGGGGAAAGAGCAGGGGTGGTGGAGGCGGTGACAGGGGATGTGGTGGAGTACCCGCTGTCTGCTGCTGTCAGGGACAGATTCGATGATGGCCGCATCAAAGGTGAGCCGCTGCCCCTCGTGCCCTCTCTTGCCCTCTCTTGCCCACTCTTGCCCTCTCTTGCACGTTATTTCCCTCTCTTTCCCTCTCTTTCCCTCTCTTGCCCTCTCTTGCCCTCTCTTTCCCTTTCTTGCCCTTTCTTGCCCTCTCTTGCCCACCCTTGCCCACTCTTGCCCTCTCTTGCACGTTATTTCCATCCCTTGCCCTCTCTTTCCCTTTCTTGCCCTTTCTTTCCCTTTCTTGCCCTTTCTTGCCCTTTCTTGCCCTTTCTTGCCCACTCTTGCCCTTTCTTGCCCTTTCTTGCCCTCTCTTGCCCACTCTTGCCCTCTCTTGCCCTCTCTCGGCCCGACTTGTCTCCGTAGCACAACACTCAGACCCGCCGTGTTCTTCGCCTTTCATCTCCTCTTCCTTCCTTTCTGTGTGCGTGCAGGCGTTGGCTTTGTGGTTGGCCGCAACAAAGGTGCGCTGCTGCCCTGCCACGCCCCTTGTCTCTCTCTCTCTCTTCCACCCTGCCACCCACTACTTCCTCTCTGCCTCCATTATGGTCAATTACCTCGTCTGCACATCGCCCCTGTTGCTTGCTCCCTCATCTGCCAGCACATCCTCCTCGTTTGCCAGCACATCCTCCTCATCTGCCAGCACATCCTCCTCATCTGCCAGCACATCCCCCTAATCCGCCACCACCACCTCTCCTTGTCCCTCCAACAGACCGTGGCGATCGCCACAAGCTCCCACCCGAGGTGAGAAGCGCCTCTTTGTCCGTGCAGCAAGTGTGTCAAGTGTTTGTTGATTCATACATGCGGGCTGCTTCTCTTCCATGCCCTTTATTGCTTTGATACTTGTCTCACTGCGTTCGCTTCCCCCATCGTTGTCCCGCGTCACCTTTCCTGATTCCCAATCTCATCCTCCTCTCCTGCGCCTCGATAGGAGTCCATGTAGCTGGTGGAGACATGTAGCTGGTGGAAACACGGCCGCAGAGTCAGAAGCAGCGAAGGGGGTTTCTCGCAACCGCTTTCACTGCCCTCATCTCTCAGCTCTCTCCTCTGCATCTCCGGTCGCTGGACCTTTCCGTACCCCTCTGAACCCCTCCACTTTCTGCCAGAACCTGGGGCTGGTGGAGATAGAGCCGCTGGTCCTCGTTCCCGGCTTGCTCTCTCTTTCTCTCTGCATCTCCTGCATTCACATCTCTCATATCTCGCCTCGCGTGTCTCACGTCCCCCTTCTCCTCCGTGCTACCAGAACCTAGGGCTGGTGGAGATAGAGCCACTGTTTCAGGAGGCAGGCGAGGACGTGTGGCAGACAGACGCTCTCGAGAGTGCCGCCTTCGCCTCTCTGCCCGACCTCAGAGTGCTGCGCACCGTGAGCTCTCCTCTCCCTGCCTCCTCTTTTTGCCTTCATCCTTTCCCCCACATCCCATGGGAGCCCCATTCCTGTCTTTGTTGCGTCCCTCATCTGTGCACATGCACTGCGCACACACACATGTGCATGCTATGTTGCAGAAGACGCGTCTTGCGTCCGCGTCCAGACGCAGCGTTCAGGACGCAGGACGCGCATTTAGGGCCTGTGAGACGCTGGAAAAGACGCATGCCCGGGCAGGCTAAAAAAGGTTCGGGCAGCCAAAAAAACCTTCTATGGGGTATGGGGAGGGGGGGGGAGATGGACGTAGCTCACATTTGAGGCAAAATTTCCCCATACCAAATTTTGAAGTGAGAAATGAACTAAACCCCCAAGGGTTTTTTAAGGAGATTTGGGATGAAGTAAAGAGCAGGACCACAAATGAAGCATTTGTGCTCCTAAATCCTGTTGGTGGTTAGCCATGTTGGTTGGGTTTAGTAGATGTAGTGCGGTTGAGTGTGTTTTGTTTCAATTTTGGTTTGGGGGGGGGTTTCAAATTTGGTTTGTTGGCTGTTTTTCAAGGTCGAAATGGGTGGGGGGGGGGGGTCGAAATTTTGCGAAATTGACTTGTCGGTCTGCCCGAAAAAAAATCCCCCATGCGTCCAGCGTCTTCGCGGGCGTCCTGCGTCTGGACGCAGGACGCAAGACGCCCTGAGCGTCTTTTGCAACATAGCGTGCATGCACGCACTCTTTTGCACACTCACACGCACTCGCGCGCGCGCACACACACACACACACACAAACACACACACACACATACACGCACACGCACAAACAGACATGCACACACGCACACACATGCACAAAAAGACGTGCACACACGCACACGACACACACACACACACACACATACGCACACACACACACACACACACACACACACACACACACACACACACCTACACCCACACCCAAACACCCCAGGCCCTTTCGTGCGCTTCCCAAAAAGCCTTCTCTCTCCACCTGTCCAGCCCCCCTGCCTCCTCCCACTCTGTGCCCTTCCATCCCCCGCTCCACTCAATGCCCATCAATCCCCCCTCTGCTCTGTGCCCTGCCATCTCTCCCCCTCCCCCCCCACCCTTTTGCTTTGTGCCCTGCCATCTCTCCCCCCCCCCAATTCCTGCTCTATGCCCTACCATTCCCCCTGCCCCCCCTGCCGTGTGCCCTGCCCCCACCATGCATGCGGGCAGGAGTTTGACAAGAGGACCGACTCGTGGCGCATCCTGGATGCGCTGTCTCCGGGGTGTGGGAGCCCCGTGTACGACGAGGAGATCATCGTATAGCGTATGGATTGCTTTATACCACATTGTCTGTACAATGAAAAAAAAAAACGTTACCCTATTTTTAATCCCCCATTGAATGTGAGTAGCATGAGGAGGATATCATTGTCTATGTTGAATTATATTGCATATCCTAACTGCCTACAGCTTGCTAGTGTATTAGTTAGTTATTAGGTTCAACTGCTGGTGGTGTACCCTATCCTCTCCCCTATCCTATATCTTGTAAACATTCCGTTGCATTCCTATTCTGAGATGGTATCAGAGCGTGGTCCCTCCTAGGACCTCGTTTTCATGGGCCCACCAAACCCGCGATCTGCCATGGCGACTTATTGTGCTGCTGGCATGGCTGCTACTGCTAGTAGCGCGAAATCCGCTGCTGGCTCGAAATCCGCTGCTTTTGCAGCACCCGTCGCGCTGCCCCCTTTCGCCTGCTCCGTCGCGCTCTGCCAGTGGCGAGCGTGCCAGCGAGGCGACGGCGGGCGCCAGCGCAAGCGCCAACGGCGGGCGCCAGCGCAAGCGCCAACGGCGGGCGCCAGCGCCAGCGCCAACGGCGGGCGCCAGCGCAAGCGCCAACGGCGGGCGCCAGCGCCAGCGCGACGCCAGCGCCCAGCGCCAGCACTTCCGCCAGCGCCAGCGCATGGGGGGGAGGGGGATGAGGGGGTGGCGGGAGAGCTTCTGCCGCGCCAGCCACCTCCTCTCCTCTCCTCTCCTCTCCTCTCCTCTCCTCTCCTCTCCTCTCCTCTCCTCTCCTCCTCCTCTTCTCCTCTCCTCTCCTCTCCTCTCCTCTTCTCCTCCAGCCGCATCTCCTCCTCCTCTCTCCTCTCCTCTCCTCCAGCCGCATCTCCTCCTCCACTCTCCTCTCCTACAGCCGCATCTCCTCCTCCTCTCTCCTCTCCTCCAGCCGCCTCTCCTCTGCTCTCCTCCTGTGCACCACCACCAGCTTCCTCCTCCTCACCAACAGTTGTGTTTGCTCGTAGATGGCGAGCGACCAGCATCCTTCGCCCTCCGGCTATCCCAGCCCTCCTCCGCGCTCTCCGCGCCCTCCTCCGTTCTGGCGTTCACAGGTGCTGCCGGTCAGCCACCGCTGTTTCTGTGCCTATCCCAGCTACAGCAACCGCTCTCCAGGCGACCTGGTGCCAGACACCACTAGCTATAGCCGTAGGCAGTTACGGGGGTGTGTTGAATTATATTGCATATCCTAACTGCCTACAGCTTGCTAGTGTATTAGTTAGTTATTAGGTTCAACTGCTGGTGGTGTACCCTATCCTCTCCCCTATCCTATATCTTGTAAACATTCCGTTGCATTCCTATTCTGAGAGTCTAGCACATGTGTCTGTCGGGTCAAATTCATAGCATATGATACGATGGCTTTGTGGTGCCTAGAAAGAACTAGAGTACAATCAGTGTGATGTTGTCATTTCTCCAAAGAATTTGGCATGGCCCATTGACAATGCGCGTGCAGTGCAGGCGATGAGGACATACGGTAGTGAATGAGGAAACCTGGTAAGTAGATGTGTTGCTAGAAATAGTGTTACGTCTGCAATTGACAAAGCGAGCGAGGATTGCACTAAAGGGTCAAAACGAATAGAAATGGGCATTAGCGAACATTTATAGCAAAAACAATCAATTGTGGGCTTGCAAACTAGCTGGTCCGATGCTGGCGGCGAGGCCTGGGCAAGTCCTGAAGCGTAGGCCGGCCCGGCCCAGTCCGGTAGTGCGTGTCAGTAGACCTGCACTCTGTGAGATCCCCGATTGATCATAGGGGGGTTACAGGCATGTTAGCCTGAGGGGGGTTTGGGCGCACGGACCCGCATTTGGAATACGTATTTTTATCCCAGTGGTCTAGTGGATAAAATTCTGACATAGTATCAAAGCGGTCTCGGGTTCGAATCCCTGTGTATGCACATGCAGGCCGTTGCCGCTGTGCCGAGTCCTGGGCCCTCCCAGTGTGGGGGGGTGTCAGTAGACCTGCACTGTGAGATCCCCGATTGATCATAGCAGGGTTACAGGCATGTTAGCCTGAGGGGGGTTTGGGCGCACGGACCCGCATTTGGAACAAGCCCTTTTATCCCAGTGCTCTAGTGGCCGGGATTCTGACAGCGCGTAGTTTGGTAGAAGTGACGCGCGAATTCGCGATCACCGTTAAGCAGTAACGGGCTAGAAATGGTTGACCGTAATACGTGTTGTTGTGGTGATCGATAAGGAACACGACCCCCCTCCTCAAAAAGCCCTCCGCTAAGTCAGCGTGTGTACATCGCGGAATCCCTGGCTCCGTAAATATACCTGGACAGGGTGGTTTCAATGTTGCCCAGGTGCACCGAACTGTCTTCGGTCGGGGTACGATCCTTCAAGGGGATGAGGAACTCGATCTTACGAGATCCCTGGGGGTGTCAAATCCGATGGCTTAGAAATTTATCAACTTCGATGACGGCCTCCGATGTAGGGCGCGTCATTGATGTTGGTCGGTAAGTTGGCTGGTGGTCAGGGCGTACGGGCGAAGCAGGCTGACGTGGAATGATGGGCTGATGTACCAGTCGGCGGGTAACTGGAGATGGGCGGGGACGGGCGTAATCATGGCGTATCTGGGATGGGCCACAGTAGCGAGGTCGTTATTTCGGTATGATGGGCAGGCGAAGGTTCTAGGTGTCGAGCATTATGAAGTCTTATGACTGGTACGTGACGGGGCGGCGGTGGCGATCTGAATTACTTTTAACGATGACACTTGCTTTTTTTTTTATTGCCTTTGTTGCGCGGATCTGGGCAGCTTGTAGTATTTCGGCGAACTGTTGCGCGCGTGGTGTCGGTTGTGCGGGTTCGACGCCATGTGCATTATAGGGTTCTGCCCATAGTTAAGATAAAACGGCCAGTGTTGCGTCGTTGCTAACGTGGCATTGTTTTACGCGAATTCGATCCATGGTAGCTGTTGTTCCCATGCTGAGGGGTCGTCACACGTGGCGCGAATCAGCTGCTCCATGGGTTGCTTTGTCCGAGTCTATCTGTCAGTCTCTGGGTGGTATGATGAACTGAACTATATGCGTGTCCCGAATTGCTCCCAAAGGTTCTTCCAGAAGTTGCTAGTAAACCTCATGTCCCTGTCACTGATGATGGTTGCTGGTATCCCGTCAAGTCGAACAACAGCGGCGATGAACGAGCGAGCGGTTTCTTCGGCAGATATGGACTTTTTGCACGCAACGAAGTGAGCCATTTTTTGTCAATCTGTTGACGACGACCATGACCGTGTCGTTACCACCGGGGCTCATTGGTAACCCCGTGACAAAATCCATGGTAACCTGCTGTCATGCGTGTTCGAGCGGTGGTATTGGCTGCAGTTGCACTCCTTGTTTTATCCGTGAAGACTTCATCACCTGGCACGTGGGGCCGATCCTACCTAGTGCTGCACGTCTGTCAACAGCTTCGGCCAATAGTAGTACCGGTGTAGTTGCTGTCACGTCTTTTCTACCCCGTAGTGGCCCGAAGTAATCCTGACGTGCGCCTCTTGCAGTAGTAATCCCCGTAGCGGAGAATATGCTGGTACCTAGGTGCGGTTGGTGCCGGCTTTTACGTAATAGGCTGCCTTTGCTTGTGTTGGCTACTGCGAGTTTTCAGTGGTGAAAAATGGGTCGGTGCGGTAGCCGTGGGCAAATATTCCTATTAGCAGTGGGCTGGATTGGGTGAGTAGTATGGTATGTAGTTGGGCAATGGGGCGAGTGAGGGCGTCGGCAATATTTGACGCGCCTTTTTTGTACGTGAACGGGTAGTGCAAATAAAACATCAGATTGTCCAACCAGCGGATCTGACGAAGTGAAGTCGGCGGACGGCGTTGAGCCTCGGCGGACGGCGTTGAGCCTTAGCGGCCGACGGTGTTGACGAGAAAGGGCCCGCCCTTGCTTGGGCGAAGCCGACTTCGTTGCTCGGCTTGCAAAGTGTGTAGCCGGCTAGGCTTCGTGGTCGGCGCCGACTTGGAGGAGCAAGTCGGCTTGGTTGGCCGACATCAGTGGAGCTGACATCGACGGTTAGCCGACTCCGGAGAAGCCGGCCACTGTGAAGCAGACCTCAACGAACGGCGAAGCCCACTTCGTGGTCGACGCCGACTTGGAGGAGCAAGTCGGCTTCGTTAGCCGACTTTGACGGTTAGTCGACCTCGGGGAAGTCGACCGCATCGGAGCCGACTTTGGCGAAGCAAGCCACGGCGTAGGCCGACGAAGTGGGGTCGGTGGCCGACAAAGTTGTTCCTCGACATAACGCCGACTTGCGGGCGCCAACCTGCGGGCATCGGCGGCCTCTTCTGGTCGACCGAGTAACCTGGTCGACGAAGTTCTGCGGGGATGCGCGAACCTCGCCCCATGTGGTTTTGGCAAAACCGACCTGCGTGGCAACATCATGAGAGCACGAGGTTGACGTGGTGCATCTGGCCCAACTGTCGGCGCATGGCCGACTTGGCACCTGCGCAATGTGCGTGATGGTGCACGGCGTTCTCAACCTTGTACCAGCACCTGCGAAGTGGGTGCACGCATGTGCGCTATAGTCACATGCGGTTGCAATGCTGGCAAGCCACCTTGTTGCTGCGTTGGCAAACCGCCCTGGTGCAACGATGGCAGGCCGCCAACTTGCAGCGTTTGCAGGCCGCCTTTGCAGCTGCGTTGGCGCGCCACCGACTTGCGGCGCTGGCAAGCCGCCCTCGTGCTGTGTGTGAATCAAGAAAACAGGAATGAAATGACTAAGTGAAAGTTGGGTACAAAAGGCAAACCCTAGGCAACTGTACCCCATATGTGCTACCCCACTATAGCCTACAGTAGCTATGTCATATAACTCTGACACACCCCCATGGGCAAAGTGGGGGAGAACAAGGGGTCACAAGACCAGTCAAGCAAAGCAAAGCAAGCTCAGGGTGGATCACAAAGTCACCACACATTCCGAGCACAAGTTCAAGGCCACAAGGCCAGTTCACATGCAGGATTACATATACATATAAGGCTAGACAAGCAAGAGCAGGAGTATATATA